AAGTTCAGCTGCTGCAGATGCCAGGGCTACTGATGGCCCTGGTGTTGCTTTTTCACAGGGTTTTGATCCATTCCAGCAGGCTGTTTATAATTATAACTGGGATTGGATGGCGGTGACTCAGCGTGCCATGGTTGATATTCATGATTCTATGCAGGTACTTCAGCTGCAATGTCGTGAACCCTCTGTGGATCGTACTATGATGACGTGTGAGCAGTTCTTGCAGCACGCGAGCTGGCCTGAGGTTAGACCTGTTTTTGGAGAGGGGGTGAGTGCCTCTGGTCCTGATGGTGGTAGCGCTGAGGTGGATGATGATGATGATGATGATGATGCTAGTTCTGAGAGCGTGGAAGAGACCGAGTCTGAGAAGGACTGAGTTTTTGATATTTTGATCTTGTGAGCGTGAATTCGAGCAACTTCCTTTGGTCGTCAAAGTGAAGTACTTTTGTGCTTGAATCATTGCTTTTGTTGTTTTTATTGTACTGTTATTTCAGATTTTGGCTCTTGTACTATTTTGGAGTGTTTTTTCTCCCATGGACATTTTATTTAAGTTTAAGTTATGTTAAGTTTATGTTTTAAAATATTTTGTTTCTTTTCAAGTGGTTGTTAATATTTTCTGCCTGTTGAGCTTTCTAAAACTTCTAGATTGGTTGCTCTCTAGAAAGAAGTATCCAATGAAGATGCATCTGAGTTTGGATGGCGATGATAATAATTAAACAAGCGTATAATGTCAAGGTACATGGTTACCTTTGGTTAGAATTTTAGAATGCATTAAGAATTTTAATCTTGTTGTGAATGAATATTGTTCTTTTGGCAACATTGTTGAATGAAGGTTTCACTTAGGACTTAGAACCACAAATTGTGAGGAAACCTCGATTGTACACTAAATGTTGGATTCTAATAAACTTTGTTGATTCATTTAATTCATGCTTTACCTTTTAATATTGTGAATGTGTGGAAGCAATTAGAAATGATCAAGGCACTTGTTTTCTATCGAGCACAACTAGTTCCAAATGCAACTTACACGTGAGCAGAGAGTATTCGTGAACCCCTTGAGCCTAAACAGTGTGAATCTCAGCCTGAAATTGTGCGAGATTCCAAAGAAAATTTTATTGAACCCTTGAATTTTTTGTTAATTGTTCTCTTTGCCTTAAAAAGTGAAGAACATTCACTTGAGGGTTGAGTAAAAGTTAAGTTGGGGAGAACGAAAAAGAAGTATGGTAGGTTGCTACAACTCTTGAAAAATCAAGCAAACATTGAGGGGAAAAAATTGTTATGTGAATATGATTGTAAAAGAGAAAAAAAAAAGAATGCTTGCTTGGAAAATAAAAAAAAAGAATAAGTTGTGAACTAAGAGTTGGGAATGTTTTGAAATGAGAAACAAGTGAAAGGAAGTTGTGATGTGTAAATAACTTGTACAGTGAATGCCTCTTTTGCATCGACAATTTCGTTTCAATGACCTTAGATATGTCCCTTATTTGTAAACCCGACCAAGCTACAACCGCAAAAGACCTTAGTGATCTTCTTGCTTCCATATTTTTATCTATAATTGTTAGATATTGTATGAATTGGATTGATTTTGGCATTGTTTGTTAGTTGAGTGAAATTGTCCCCGCGGTTGCAAACGCGTAATTTCTTCAACCCTTATTCGAAGAGGAGAGATAGGGTGATTAATTCAAGATAACATTGTTGTTGATTGATATATGTTTTGCATTGCTTTAAGACTTTAGTTCTTGTGTGTTGTTTGATTCTAACCATTGGGAACCTGTGTCTGGTTGCATTCCTTGTTTTTGAGCCATTTAATCCAATTTCGGAGAAATCTTTTTCTTGAGCAAATCCTCTTGTTTCATCAAGAGGCATACTTTGCTTGAGCGCAAGCAAGAATATAGTTGGGGAGAATTGTTAGATGCCCAACTTTGCTTATTTGATCTATCAAATGTGGGCATCTTTCACTTCTTTTTGTAAAGAAAGTGTTGGAAATCACTCTTCCTTTGGTTGGTTTGCAACATATTGTGAAAATATCTTGGTTCCTTTGATTTGTGTGTTATTGTGCAGGAATTAGGCATGAAAAAGTGAAGATTAAGACATAAGAAAGAGGACAAAAAAACCAAGTCAGCATGCAAACAACAGCAAGTTCGCTGGGCGAACTTGCTAGCGAAGCTGCCACCAAAACTTCATAAAGTTTGCTAGGCGAACTATGTATCGAAGGTCAGGAATCCAATACAGTAAGGAAAGATCCATAAAGTCGCTAGGCGAAGGAGGCAGCGAAGAGCTCGCTAGGCGAAGAGGTAGCGAACACTCCCAGACTTGAGACAGTAAGGAAAGGGCCATAAACTCGTTGTGCGAAGTTTGCAGCGAAGGATTCGCTAGGCGAACATTTCTTCGCACAACGAACATTTGGGTTTCTGTTTGGGGAGCTTTCATAGGATATAGGCACTTCAGGTGCCATTTTGGGTGTTCGAACTGCGAACGTGACAGCTCAGCAGCCACTTCTATAAGTAGTATGAGCTACTTTTTGTAAAAATATCTAATTTTTTGTACTTGCATTTTGAGAAGATTTTCTGACCTAGAAAACTCATTCCTCCATTTCTCATCATCTCTCAGCAATATTTCACAAAAAGAAGGTGGATTCCCATCAAATCTCGATTATTCGACTCGGATGTTGATCAACCTTCTTCCGAAACTTGTTGCTCAAGCTATCATGGAAATGGTTGGCTAAATCCCTCTCTTGTCAAGGTTAGAAGTAGTTAGTTCATATTTTATGTATTCCATTTGATCTTTTGTATGTGAACAAATGTTGTGATCAATATAGATGAAGTTATTTGCTACTCTTTGTACATTTATGGTTTGGATTGCTTTAGACATGAACTTTCTAAGTCTTGACCTAATATCTTCATCTATCAACTATACAAATTCTAGACATAGGTTTGAAAGTTGATATCCGCTTTGTATTGATCTTAATGTTTATTGTTTCGATTGTTACTTAGAGAGATCATTTAACGGTCGAAACAATAACATTCACGAAATCGCTTTAGAAATGAACGTTTTTGCGAGGATACGCGGTTATGTTGGTTAAAACTTCGTTCACATATTTGATCGGTTGGATATGTTTAGGACGGGCTAGCGGACCCTAGTCTTGACATGTTTTTGTCAAACTTAGACCGGATTTTATTCAGCGTTAATTTTTGCAAACTTTTGTTACAAAATTGAAACCATTCTAAAAATCCCTTTTCTTAAGACATTAAACTGTTGAACGGCAAGCATCTATATTCTCTTCAATCCCTGTGGAGACGATAAAACACTACCCCAAAAATACTTTCTAACTGCAACCGTTGAGCCTTCTACAAGTGGATTAAAATCATTCTTGATCACTTCAAAAATGTCTTGATAACCAAACAACACGTTCATCTGTTTGTACCACTTATCATAATTATTCGCAACGAGAATTGACAGATTTATAGGGATTCGTTTATTGGAGATGAAAAACATTTTCACACATTTAATGTCTGATCAAATAACTAGACTTTTGATGTCAAATATTAGGGCAAAACAATCACAAGATACACTAATGAACAATGTGAGCAATGTGGAGTGGGTGAGAAAATTAGAAAGAATAGAGTGAAAAATAGTGGCATTTCATCAATAATCCAAAATGGAGTATTTATACATCATTGCAAAACATTCCAACTAACCAACTTAATTAAAAAAGAAAATTTTTGACCGACATTACGAGCTTGTAACCGATTATACAAAACTCGCTGACTTGGATGATAACCGATTACATAAAAATGATAATCAGTTATACAAAACTCACTGCCACATGTAATAACCGGTTGCACAAAAATAATAACTGATTACGCATGTGATAATCGATTGCAGGCCCGAAGTAACCGATTATGCCCTACTTGAATTACATTTTTCTCAACATTATTTTATTGATCCCCGCCATAAAATGTTACGACTAATTTAGAGTATATAAAGGTTAGTGTACAGTTTACACGTTTTGATAGGTTTCTAGATAGCTAGCTACTGAGAGGTGAGTTGTTCCAGACAGCACAAGATGCAAACCAGCTTCAACAAAACTGGACACAGCCATATCTCATCTTACTACACCAACATTTCTCTTCTTACTTCCTACCAAACGACAATATATCTATTACTACTACTACTACTAACCTTTTTAATATTCAAATATCAACATCATTTCGTTAAAACGCGTAAACTTTAATATAATATATGCACACTATCAGTGCTTGCTAAAATTTTCATCAACTGTACAGTGAGTTCTCTAGAGTCATTTTACTAACATGACAACTTAAAAAACAAAAGAAGAATTTGATATTATATACATGATAAATAAATCAGCTAATGCTATCTGTTACGTAGAATTTGATCATAAAATCGCGAAGTAATACGCGTGTACAATGTGTAAAGGAAGAACCGACGTAGAAAAAACGTATGGATTTAAAGAACCAATTTGATACTGTCGCGTCATTTTGTGGAAATGTGTTTCTAGAATAACAATATTTTCCTAAATAAATACTTATTTTGCAGTTTCAAGCAATAACAACCAGTGGCTAATCATGACATATATCTACTGATATAGCTATTTTGTTTATAGTTTCTTAATAGCAAACAGATTAGATAATAAGCTATATTAGTGATAATTAAGATATATCATTGACTAAGAAAATTAGAGATGAGAGTTTAATCAAGAATAGTCCTTTTCATTTGTATGTTATTTCATTGACTTGTTGATAAAAGCCTCCCAAAAGTCCACACGAAAACAGAAATTGGAGGTCTAGATTTTTTAGCCTCTAAATATGTAAAAAATAATGTTATGTCAAATTTTCTTGATTAAGAAATTGTAGGTATCATAGGTTGTATAATAAGTCCCGTGAGCATTTTACTGTTCTAAGTTGGGATATAGTGATGTTATATATAAGCTTAGTTTCCTGTCAATATTTACATTAATACTTTTTTATTTCAAGGGTAGTTTTCTCATGGAGAATATTTCATTCATCAGAGGGTTTCCTGATCAGGTAAGATATATAGTTGATGATGAATGTATGAAATTTCTATGAACATTTTGAAAGCATGTGTTTGATCTTGCAGGAAATAATGGAGGATCCTTCTCTTTGTCTTCATCAATGGTATTTAAACTCTATCGACGAGTCAAACTCACTGCCAATAGCTTCTGCTTTTGGAGACACTTTGCAACACCCTTCTTATATTTATCCAAACTTCAATCTCAGAGCTTCGGTTGAAACTGATCAGAGACCCGAGACTCAATTTGTTTCGTACCAGAACCTTCTTTCGTACGTCGATTCTAATCATTTTAATCAGTTGGGATTAGTGAAGCCTAAGGACGAGATGGTTTGTCCTCAAAACAGTAACACAACTTCTGACGCGGTCTCTCAAGGAATCATGGAGGCACAAAGGATATCGACACGTAATAAAGTCTCTCTACCTCAGGACCATATAATAGCTGAAAGAAAGCGGCGAGAGAAGCTCAGCCAGCGCTTCATTGCTCTTTCTGCCCTTGTTCCCGGACTACAAAAGGTATACATAATTTGCATATGTTGGACTTTGTTCGCTATTAGGATGCGTGATGAATTGTGTTTAAAGTACTATCTGTATTAATTTTTGTGGTCTCGAATTTTAATGTGATGCTAACAGATGGACAAAGTTACCGTTCTTGGAGATGCTATCAAGTACTTGAAGAAACTGCAAGAGAAGGTGAAGGCTCTTGAGGAGGAACGGAACATGAAGAAAAACGTGGAATATGTGGTGGTTGTGAAGAAATCTCAACTAACGAATGACGTTGAGAATTCGTCTGCAGAATCTGGCAGTCCCTTCGACGAGGAACTGCCAGAAATTGAAGCAAGGTTTTGCGATAGAAATGTACTCATAAGAATTCACTGTGAGAAAAGCAAAGGAGCTGCAGAAAAATCAATCCATGAAATTGAGAAACTGCACCTAAAAGTCATCAATAGCTGTGTCATGGCATTTGGGAGTTGTGCACTTGATATAACAGTTATTGCTCAGGTAATCTTTGTATCTTTTATATTGGCTGAAAGCCGAAAGTTCAAATAAACGAACTAAATTACTACAAATATGCATTATTATTGAAACTACTCGTGAAATTTGCAGATGGATATAGAATTCTGCATGACATTGAAGGATCTTGTGACAAACCTACGCTCAGCTTTTGCATCGTTCATCTGAGGACGTTCCTATAGCTCATACTGAACAGATCCCAAAAGAATAAGAATATATAGAAGATACGGTCAACTATATATACACAAAAGGTGTTTAAAGTTTCAATTCTTGCAATGATATTTCTTTTTTCAAGGCCTACAATGTCAACTATCTCATCTACTTCAAGCGTGCTCTATGGTTCATTTCGGAAAGGGTTTTTTTCTGGTTAACTCGTTGACCATGTTACGACTACTCTCTCTCCTAAAAGTCTTATAAAGGGGCATTGGATTTTTGGGTGCCTTTGACAAACAGGCCTTTGTATTGTGAATTCCTTTCTGTTTCAAACAAAATATGGTTGATTGATAAAAGTTGTATGGAGTTTGAACACTTTGCCAAAGGCTTGTAAGTTCAAATCTCCTGCAAAATATGTACCGAAATATATATACACTTAAAATGTTTGATTGGTTTTAATGCAATAATTGTATATCTTAAAGCATATGTATTTTTTTTTACATGTTTCTCATACAAATCATATTGCGTAGTCGCTATGAAAAGTTACTTCAATTATCACAGTAAGCGAAAAACACAACATTTTAGCAGATAAATATCTACAAAATATGAACATTCATAAGCAATGGACAAAGCCAAAAACGTAGGTACTATTCGTAAGAAAGATATACTATGAACAGACAGAATTATTACACAAGTTCTTTATATATATAGTAAAGAGACAATACAAAACTATTTGTCTTAACTGACTTATTTTTTGATGAATTCTACTCCCTTCTGGATGCTTCCTGCTAACTCACTCTTCGCTTTTTCCAACCCGATCCTGTTAAGTATTAAACAGAAGAATTTTGACTTTTTTCTTTGTTTATTGCTTCTAATAAAGAAACTGAGTGATTGTTTGAAAAACTATTGGAGTACCTTTCATACTCATTCAGAGGACCGAGTTGATATATCTCTTCTGCTCCACCGCGACCAAGACGAACCTTGGTTGCAAAGAAAGGAAGATCCGTAACCTGTTCAAGACATGAGCTACTGTTAAATGAGATATGAAAAGGGAATACGAAGAACATGTACTAGGGGAAAAAAGGACTTGAAAATGGCACCTGAGAATCAACAAAAGCACACTCCACCACCCCTGCTTCTCCTTTCAAGCCATGGAGGCACGAGTTAGCAAACTTGGCAGCTGCATATGCCTACACAATCAATCATGTTTAGTTAGTCCCTATACCATGGCACAATTGATAACAGTTGGTGATGCTTGGAACCGTAGAAATATTAGGATAAACTATTAACCATTGATAGTGTTGCAGAACCAGCCCCAGCTTTTGCCTGTAGCATGAATAAATTTTATTAGATTATGATGAATTAGTAGAACGAAGCAAATGAATGAGTGTGAATGATCACTTGCTAAATGATAAATTTATGACATTACCTCAACAACTTCTGTTCCACCATTTTGAATGCGATTTGTCAGGTATTCGGCTTCTTCGGCACTGAAGCTACTGGGAGGCTTAACCTATAAAAACCAAGTTTGAAGTTGGTTTAGTAACTTGTTCAACGATCACATTTTTAACTAAGGAAACATTCTCTAGAAAACCTGGGACAAAAGAGGCAATATTGTGACTCCTGCGTGACCTCCTACCACCGGAACATCAACCTCTCTTGGATCAACTCCAAGTACCTCTGCCTGCAAGAAAAAAAAAAACAACATGCACCAGCATGTACTTATACAGTAGTAGGAAGGAAACTCAACTGTTAGATAGAAGAAGACGACTAGGCTTACCACGAAAGTATTCGCCCTCACAACATCAAGGGTTGTAACTCCTAAGAGTCGCTTTGGATCATATGTACCAGCTTTTTTGAAGACCTCAGCAGCAATTGGCACAGTGGAATTCACTGGATTGCTAATCAAGTTGACAATTGCATTGGGACAGCTTTTGGCAACTCCTTCACAAAGAGTCCTCACAATTCCAGCATTTATCTTAAATAAATCATCCCTCGTCATTCCAGGTTTCCTCGGCACACCAGCAGGTATAACTACCAAGTCCATTCCAGTGAGAGCATTCTCAAGTTGTGCCTGCCCTAGAAAGCCACGAACCTAGAAACCCAAAAACAATTGCATCATTCGAACATTATAGCATCTAAACATTGCTAAAACAAGTAAACATCTTTAAAATACATAGAGTCACTCTAACAAAATCCCCGTTGTACCAAAGAAAAACACGACTATTACTAGCCTATTCATTAGAAAAACTACCAAGACTCTGTATGCTAAAATTAGCTGATAGTTGAAAGCTTATAGCTGATGACTAATAACAGATAGCTGATAGCTGGTGACCGAGAGTAACTTAGATTAACATCAACATTATGTTAAGTAGAAAAAGCAATGAAAAAGAAATTACCACAGCACCAGTGTCCATGTGACTAACATCAGCAGTGACACCAGGAGTGTTGACAACATCATAAAGATGAAGAACCGAAACCAATGGATTCATCTTCAACAACAAAGAAAGGGGTTGACCAATTCCACCAGCAGCCCCTAAGATTGCTACTTTGAATCCAGGTGCTCCACCTTTTGCTCTGCAGTTAGCCTTGTTAATTGCAACATCACCTCCTTCCTGTAATCACAAAACACACATAGCATGATTTGGATATCAATTTAAGCCGCGAAGCGACATCAAAGTTCTTAATATTGATGCATCTTCAATTGCAATGCGGCCATAACTATCATGAATGGTTTCAAGTTAATGATATTGAAATTTGAATTTTCTAGGTATGATGTTTACTACTAACCTGGAAATTTGAAGGGTGGAGATGAGCAGAGATTCTTGCAATCCTCTGGTTGGCTCCTGCTTGTGCTTCCATTGAGAGACAGAGGGAGAAGTAGTAGTGTGTAAGGGAAGTTGAAGAGTTACTATAGGATGATATGAGGTGTTAAAACAAATGAGGGTGCAAAAGAATATAAACAAATATGTCCAAAATGTTTTTTTTTTCTTTCAATTTTATATAATTTTATCTAAAATTGAATTTTGTGTGGAATCAAGTTTTCTGAACCCTTATCTTATTATCCTAGGTCTCAAATGAATGTGGCTCTCATGATTTTAACTCAACTTTCACCATCCAATGTTGGAAGAGATCTTTGTCTTCTCATCTAAATCAAATGAGATATGATATGATTTTACTGATAATATTAAAATCCAAATTTATACACAGTATAACACTCTTTTATCTGTGCCCTATAAACTTAGCCATCTATTGGGTGAAAAAAATATGCAAATGTTATGGTTGGCTGTTTGGCTAAATGATGAGTCTCCAGTCATTCTATGACCCTTGTGATATGAAAAGTTGAATTTATAAAATTAATATTTCTATTCTAATTCAGTTTTTTTAGAAACTAATTCTAATTCAGTTTTGTATTAGTAAATTGAGAAGCTGTTCATTTAGTCAATATAAGTTTTTTTTTTTTATAGTGTTCGAAAATACAAAGATATAGGTTGGCTTTTGATTCACAAATTAGTAAGTACTAAATACTTGATTGATAGAATAGTACAAGACATTATAAGGCAACTTTACGTGCTTTAATGTATTTGATGATCAATACATCATGTTAATTTTTTAATTATATTTTGTTTGATATATAAAATAGGAATCTGTTAGAAATCAATTAGTAATAAATGATATTCAATTAGTCATAAATGTAATTAGATTGTTGTCTATTGTTGATAATCATATTTGCATATAAATATGTAATATGTGTGATCATATTTGACACACAGAAATACAATTATAACATGGTATATAGAGTTGGTTGATCAACTATCTTCCACGATTTTTTTCTTTTCTCTTCCGCTTTTTTCGGCCACAATTGGCACTGGCGTCACTAGCGTCGCCGCCCCAACGATCTTCCGGCGAGATACTTATACCGCCAAAAGTGCCTCTTCTAGATCGGCCCGTCCCCAAAATCCAACCGCCACCCGCATTCCCATGTGCCCTCACATGTCGCTCCTCGTGTCACGCGTGGATCTAATGTGCCACCGCTCCAGTCGCGCGTGACAACACGTCTGACGACCCTCTTCGTCATGGTTTCCATCGTCGTCGTTGTCCTGCCCTCTTTTCAGATTTGTACTCAGTTTTTTGTTTCAAACCATCATCTCTCATGGGAGACATCGATATCGTCATATTTATTAATGTTTCGCTTATCCCGTGTGAGAAACTAACCAATACATCCAACTACAACATATGATCTAGTGTTGTCAAAATGTGGTTTCATGGTCAAGGATATGAAGATCACTTAACCACAAAATTAGATAATATTTTTACCGCTAAACGCAATAAGTAGAAACAAATGGATGCTTCTCTATGCATTGTGTTTTTTGGTTTTTCATAGCAACCAATCTCCAAACATAGTACCAAGTCTTTACCACTTGCTATGAGGTTTGGAAAAAGGATAAGAAAGTATTCTCTAACGATGTCCATAATTTTTACAGTGTCATTCTCACACTCAACCTTTTGAAATTGGAGAGTATGAATATGCAAGCCTATCTGATTAAGCTTGATGCATTGAAGGCAAATTTCACAACCCCAATTCCTTTTACAACAGATGTAACAACTCATGATGAACAACGCAATAAGTATTTCATGATATTGGCACTTGTCGAACTACCACTAGAACTCGATTTTGTTCCTAACCAGATTTTATCGTGATCCACTATTCCTAACTATGAGAAGCTAGTGAATAAGTTGTGTGCTTGGCTACACCACATGCTTTTGGACCGATTTCTACTACATCTCCCACCAAATCATTTTCTCTTGCTTCCCACTACTATGGTCATGGTAGGTGAACCCGAGGATGTGGTGGTCAACGCCATGGTATTCGTTGTAACTATTGCAAATGTTACAGTCACATTGAAGTTGGTTGCCGTACAAAGGCAAGAGAACAACGAAAACCACTGGTCACTGTTGTTGCTCAACAGACGATCACTAAAGACGTTACTGTTGGAAAAAATTGGTTTGTACCATATCTCTAAGGCTTTGATGATAAAAAAAAGTATTTAAAGAATAATAGGGTATACTAACATATGTTCCAGTGTGCATGACCATAGACTAAAATTTCTGAAGAAAATCTAGTACTGATATTGAGAGTGGATATTTAAATAGAAGACAAAGATCTAGATTCTGGAAGATTATAAGTTGAAGACCGGACTCTGAATGACGCCACCCTCTGAATGACGTCAACATCTGAAGATCCAAACTCTAAAGCGTCAGTCTCTGGAGATTCAGACTCTAAAGATCTAGTCAACGCAAGGATCGAGTATTTTGTCTTCTTCTATTCACGTGAAGACTTAAGCCAAAAATATGCAGAAAACGATTGAGATGCAATGGATAATTCCTTTTGTAGCAAAGGGGTTTCAAATGAGCTTTCAACTATATTAACCATATCAAGAAATATCTCAATGTATCTAAATCAAGTTTCTCAATGACTCCCTTGTGCAAACTCTTCAACAACTCTTTTCTTTATCTCTATATTAGGAGCTGAAGACTTGAAGAAAAATAACGAGCTATTGACATTCAAAGAGTTGTTACTCTGTCAAACAAAAAGCACAAGTTTAACTTAGAATTTCTCAACACTTGTACATTGTTGCACCCCAAAATTTGCCCTCTTTCAAGACTTGACTCATTTCTTCATTTCTTTCAAATTCGATGACATAAAGGAAATCCATCATGAATTCAAGATTAAAGGCAAGAATATTATAAAGAGAAGTTTTGTGACATTACAAGAATGTCATTTGTTGCAAGATTTTCAACTCTAAGTAATGTTTAGAAATTAATTTATTTCTAATACTTCATTCAAGTCTCTAGTCAAATTCATGTTATGGTAATGCCACACCAAGTCTACATTATGCTTACAAACATCCAAGAAACATGCAAGGATTAAATCAACATTGGAATGTTTTAGGACCAAGAGTATGCATGTTTAATCATGGCAAAACAGTCCCATGCAAGAGGTGACAAATTTCTTCATGTCACAAAATCACATGTCACAAGACCAAAGGAATAACATGTGACAATGCTTCTACATATCAGAATTTTCAAAATGCTGTCAAGAGTTGGTGGCATTGACCAAGAGGAGTTGTCCAAACACAAACAAACAAAATGGGTGCAAGGCACAAGGTGCTGCAGCAAATAGGCCTAGCAATAGTGCAGAAAATACAGCATAGCAACATACATGGAAATGGAAAGAAAGAGAGTGACATGAAGAAAGTTGCCTTGGACATTTCTAAGGATTTGAGGTCTTGAAGGAAGAGAAAACCCTAATGTGCTGAGATAAGAGAGGAGAGGGGGCTGCAAACACATTCAACTATCATTCACATACACAAGATTGAGAGAGTAAGAGAGAAGAGAAAAACAGAAAATAGTGAGAGCAACACACATTGCAAAGAAAACCAGAAAAATAGTAAGAGAGAAAACCGAAAAAAGGAGTTCCATAGAAAGACAAGGAACCTTTGAAGAAACAAAACCTTCACAACATAGAGGGAAGAGGAGTGAGGTACATTCAACCAAGACCAAGGAGGACTTGCAAGAAGGATAGGAAGCTCTTGGGTATCCATTTCCTCCAACCTTTCTCTCTTTATATTTTTGCTATTTACATTCATTTCATTTACTCTTTTATGTATTGTTGTATTGTATGCATCATGTAAGGTTCTAAGAGACCAAGAAACCATTCTCAAGAAACCACAAAAACAAAAGAAAACATAGAAAAAGTTAGGTTTTTTTCACTCTGGTAGTCTGACACGGGCCGTGTCACACAACACGGCCACCCGTGTCGCCCAACACGGGCCGTGTCACACAACACGGTCACCCATGTTGCACTTCTGTTTGAGGTTTCAACATCCAAAAACCCCAGGCTTCACAACATGGGTCGTGTCACACAACACGACCACCCGTGTTGCACCTCTGTTTGCCCTAAAAATCATTTTTCACCCAGACTTTACAACACAGGCCGTGTCACACAACATGGCCACCCGTGTTGCACCTCTGTCATGCCCTAAAAACTCACATTGCAGGTACCCTATTGTAAGAACAGAGTATGCCTAAGAGGGGGGGGGGGTGAATTAGGACTTTTGAAATTTTTCCGGTTTTTATATGGTTCTTGGAAATATACGGGATGGTGTTCTTGGTTATGGAAAGCAGTAAATCAACAGAAAGAAAGAAAGACACAGGATTTATAGTGGTTCCCCTCACAATCCGAGAGTACTCCACTCCCCTTTCAACATGAAAGAGAATTTTCACTATTGTTTAAAACAGTACAACCTATCACACCATCAACCGGTGAGGCCTACTATCAAACAATAAAAACTCACAAGTGTACAAGAACAATCCTCTTGTAAACACTCACCCTTGTGTCCAACAATCCTGGATCACAAGTCAAATACAAAATAATTGTAATGAATTTGGATTGAGTATAATTGTCAAAGTGATCTTCTCCAATGAATCAAAATTCACTCTTTGTAATTTTTCAATACAAGTGTTCAATGAATGTGAAACTTTTAATGCAAGTATGAACACTTTTGAAAAATGAATTTGATTCTAAGACAATTTTAAAAATGAGTATTGGTTTTCTGTTGGTGTGTCTTTCAAAATGAAAAACTCAGAATTTATATGAGTAAAATAACCTTTCACAAAAGGTATGATTTTAAAAGATTCAAACCATGAAAAGGTATGACTTTTAAAATAATTTTGAACTCAAAACAAAGCAATTTTTCACTGCACGTTCAGTGTTAATCGGTTAACCCATATGGTTAATCGGTTAACACTGGTACGTTAGCCCAGAAAATTCAAAATTCAAAATGGTTAACCGGTTAACC